ATCAGAATATTTAAAATATCACCAGGGATAAAGGTCATTTCAAAATGATAATGGAGTCAGTTCACCAGAAGTACATAATAACCCTAAATGTTTATTCACTTAATAGCAAAACTTAAAAGTACATGGAGCAAAATCTAATAGAACTGCAAAGAGAAATAAAGCCATGATTAGAGTCTCGGATATCAATATCCCTTTCTCATTAATTGATATAAAAATAGCCAAAATACTGGTAAGGAAATATACTACAGAAAGTAGAATAATTTATTTTAAAGAGATATATTGAATACTGTTAACAAGTTTGACCTAACTGATGCTTGTAGAATTCTCCACTTAACAGAATACATGTCCTTCTCAAGTGCACATGAAAGATTTACCAAAATCGACCGTATTGGGGGCTATAAATAAGTGAATAAGTTTAAAAGGATTCAAATCATACGAAGTCTTTTCTCTGACCATAATGGAATTAAATTAGAAATCACTGACCAAACATTATCTGGAAAAATCCCAAAATATTGTTCTTTATTTATTTCGGATTAATTATGACAGAACACATATTTAGGTCACATTGTTTTTAGTTCTAAGGTAAAGTTCAAGTTGTAGTCAAGCCCTTCACCCAAATATTTTTAAACTAAATAAATTCCAAGCCCATGCTCTTACCTACTAGGCTGTGTAGATGCATTTAGAGACAGGTTACATGGGAAAGTAAACACACTGAGCTGTACAGGGCCCCAGAAACATCAGAGTCCCCTTCCTCTCCACCTGTAGCCTCATATCATTTTCTGGGAAGCTCTGAAGCTTTCCTTGTCTTTAGCAGTCTGAGAATAGCCCATCCAAACAATTCTATAATGTTCCTAAGAGATATTAGTAGTCTTCTACCCAGACAATCCAGAATTTATTTTGAGAGAGCCAAAATAAATTTAGTCCTTGCATTGAATACCATGTAAATATATTCACATGGCCTGGGGCAGATGCTACAGTACTATACCCAGGGCAATAAAACCAATTGACCTATACTGAGCTTAGTCTTCTGTCTACATTTTATTTAATGTAAAGGGCTGTCTATAAACTTCTTAAAAATATTTTTGTGTCCTGGCACCCTGACACCCTGGTGTCAGTGTCCCTTTGAGAAATTCAGGTTGACCTCTTTCCTTTGCTTGGTGGCCTGACACACGTGATCAGATTGACAGTTTCCCCCAGTTTTGCCGCCCTTCCCCCCTCTTAGTTTGCATTCACGGTACAGTGTAAATCTAGAGTCAGCCTGTCACTGGGATCCCTTCTCTAATCTCACCAGATGAGCTCCCCGGAGTGAATGGATCCAGTAATGGTGGATTTTTTTCTCTCTCTTCCTTCAGTAGGCAGGGCTCACACCAGTGGTTAAAAACCACACAGAAAGAGATGTTGGCTCGATGACAGGAAAACCTGCTTCATGCTTAGCACTGTCTGAAAATGGAAATGCCTGCTGGGAAAGTAGTGAATTATGGTGTCTGGAGGTGTGAGGCACACAGCAGATGGGCATTTCATACAGGTTCCTAGTACAGACGGAAAGATCGGATCGTGGACGTAATCTCCACTGCCTGTAGAATTTCTGCTCATGCTACAGCTTTATGCATAAGCTTCACCTCATTTAATCCTCATAGCAACCCCTAAGGGAACAATTTATAATACCAGTGGGAGAGGTTATGGTCACAAACTTAAGATCACTCAGCAAGTGGCAAGGCCAGAATTTAGAGCTGGGATTTAAACTCAGCTCCATCTGCATCCACAGACCTTGTTTACTCTTTCCACAATTCACATAAGCATGAGAAACTGATGTAGGGGATTTCTAAGACCCCTTCCAGCACTGTGATTCTGAATCAAAATGTGGATAGAGACCCTCTCTGACTTATAATGAGGTTACCTGTCAGTAAACCCACAGAGAGTCGAAGATACTGTACATCAAAAATGGGCATGTTGTAGACACGACGGGATGCAGTCCCCTCAAAATGCAGGCAGTACAGTGCGCACACCGAGGAGTCTGGGGTGTTTGCCCTCATGCTGGCGTGCTGACCGGGGCGGCAGCTTTCTGCCGCTGCCCAGCATCCCGAGAGATACCGTGTCTCCTGTCAGTGGCCTGGGAGAAGATCAAAATTCAAAACTCGAAGTACAACTTTTACTGAAGGTGCATTGCTTCCCCAGCATCATAAAGTAAAAAAATCAAAGGTCAAAACGTTTCAAGCAGGGGACCATCGGTGCAGGCATCACTATTGTATTCCTTTAATCATCTTTCCAGCCTCAGTCACATTAAAATGATAGTCTATGACTCCAAAACTTTCTGTGACCTCCATCAAGAAAAGGCCATTTGAATAATCAATCTTTGTACTTTGTATCCCCTCTGAGTTCTCAGCGGAACTTAGTCTAAGGGCCTCAGATTCTGTTTTGTTTTGTTAATTTTCTCTTATGAGTTACTGGCAAAGACTGAGTTTCTAGTATAAATGAACAGATGACCAGGCTTTTTTTCCCCTGAAAACTGTCATAATAGATAGTTCTAACTTCTCTATTAATTTTTCAGGTCTTAAAAGGTCTTAGAAGGTGTTAGAATATCTGGTCCAAGTTCTAATTCAGTGTCTTTAATACTAGAATTTTGTAAATAGTCAAAAATGTAATGTTAAAATTTCTTAAGAATTAACCGTAAATGAGCTCACTGTATTTATTTCAAGGCAAAATGGTTTTTTGTGTGTGTTAAATGCTATCTTCTAGATTAAAGCTGAACTCGCCAAGGAAAGAGCTCAACACCTCGCGGACTTTGAGGAGCAAGCTGTTCTCTTTAGGAAGGAAGCAAAGCTGGAACTTGACATTGAAAAAGAAAAACACGAACAAATGATCCAAAAGTATAAACACGATCAAGAGGAACTGCAAACGAAGGTTTGTAATGGTGGGGCTCCTCGTCCTCTAACGAGCTGGAAAGTGCAGCTGCTGGCGTGTCCTCTAAGAGCACTGCAGGGTGTAGAGCCCCCCTGTGTCACCAGGCCTCAGTCCTGGCCATGGAGGTAAAGGAGGTGACTGTCCCCAGGTTGGGTAACCAAGAGAATTAGGCATGCACACGATCCAGCTACACATACCTGGGTTGTTTTCTTTTCTTTTCTTTTTTTTTTTGAGACAGAGTCTCAAGCTGTCCCCCTGGGTAGAGTGCCGTGACATCACAGCTCACAGCAACCTCCAACTCCTGGGCTCAAGAGAATCTCCTGCCTCAGCCTCCCAAGTAGCTGGGACCACAGGCGCCCGCCACAACGCCCTGCTATTTTTTGGTTGCAGCTGTCGTTGTTTGGCAGGCCCGGGCTGGATTAGAAACCGCCAGCTCAGGTGTATGTGGCTGGTGCCTTAGCTGCTTGAGCCATTGTTTTCTACTAAAATAAACAATCTAGAAACAGCATAAATTGTAAGACTAATAATTATCATGGCTAGATATTCAAATGCCCCAAGTATCTAACACTAACCAATAATGAGGTTATTTTATGTAATTAAAAATTTCTCAACACCTAAAGCATATCCCCTTTCATTGCAATATTTTTAATTCTAAACATTTTTGAATAAAGAGAAATATTTTTAAAATGTAATCACACCTTCTTAATTTCTTAGACAGTGTGTTCTAAATATAAAGTTTTATTAAGTTTTCTGTGTTTTTATAGGACTTAAGTAGTTGTGTGTGTGTATTAGTGAAGAACCAGTAGGGAAATCATATTTTGAATAAATTCAGTAAGAGTCCATATTAATTAAGCATCTAGTGAGACCTAATGGCCTCTCTCTTTGTATACAGAAGATATGGCACAGCCAATTCAATAGTCGGGCACAGTAGGCACGACCAACGACCTGCGTGTATGACAGTGCCACTGCACAGGGACCCACACTCAGGCCTCAAGCTTTACATTTCACACTCTGCAGATGCTGCCTTGAAATCCTTTTTTTAATTTCAGAATACCATGTATTATTAAATGTACAAACATTAGGGTGTACATGAATTGCTTTTGTATAGTTTGAGTCAAGGTTGTAAGTGTGCCCACCACCTGGAATTTACCCCCCTCCTCCCTGCTCCCACCTTGAGTTTTACTCCCACATGTGCACGCAGGTGTTGATCGATTAGTTCCAATCTAATGGTGAGCACATGTGGTGTTTGTTCTTCCATTTCTGTGATACTTTGCTTAGAAGAATGGTCTCCAGTTCCATCCAGGTTGTTAGAAAAAGTACTACTTCGCTGTTCTTGTAATGGCAGGTTAGTATTCTGTGGTACACAGATAGCGCATTTTATTAGTCCACTCGTGGAGTGATGGGCACTTGGCTTGGTTCTTTGTGATTATGAATTGGGCTGCTGTAAACATTCTAGTACAGGTGTCTTTGTGATAGGAGCATTTCTTTCCCTTTGGGTAAACGCCCAATAGTGATTGAATCCAGGTCTACTTTTAGTTCTCTGTGGTATCTCCGTACTGTTTCCCACAGAGGTTGTCCTCGTTTGCAGCTCCACTGGCAGTGTATAAGGGTTCACATCTCTCCACATTCACGCCCGAATTTGTTGTTTGTGACTTTTTGGTAAAGGCCACTCTCACTGGAGTTAGCTGTTACCTCATTGTGGTTTTGATTTGCATTTCTCTGATAGTTAGAGATGTTGAGCATTTTTTCATGTTTTATTGGCCATCAGGCCAATAATTTTATCTTTGAATTTGTGTTTTTCAAGTGAAATCCTATTGGGACAATGGAGCTCAGAGCCTAAGTTCACCTCAGCTTCCATCTGCCCTAGGTGGTCCTGGCCCTGGCGCCCCAGGCTCTACTGAGTTCCCCCCACCCCTTCTTCCTCTCATTTTGTGACTGCTGTTGCAGTCCTGGGTGGCTCAGGATCCCATAGGCAGGGGAATTTAGACCAGCAGGCCAGAACTAGCCAAATGTTACCATTTCTCAAAAGAAATAATCCAGATTTTGGCTCGGCGCCTATAGCTCAACCAGCTAAGGCGCCCGCCACGTACACACCTAAGGTGGCGGGTTCGAATCCCCAGCCCGGACCCGCCAAACAACAATGACGGCTGCAACCAAAAAATAG